CTTTTTCTTGTTATCTGGGTGGAAGTTTACAGAGCAAATTGGGTTTCCATTCACAATTCACATTTTGATTCGTGATATTGGTTACAATCCCCACAGTGTAACAGCACTCATCCCATTTCCTCCCTCTCTTTACCATTTCTGTTCATCCTTCTTTCCTATCCCTTCCTGCCTTCTGAGCTTTATCCCTGGGCAATGCTGCCCTTTCGCTCTCCTGTGATTGGTTGTTCTCAGGAGTGTGAACCTCCCTGGCGTTACTGGTCACCTTATTTGCCTATCTATTGGTCGGCTGAAAGCTGAGCCACAGGGGTGAGTTCAGTTGGGGCCTAAAGGGTGTCTAAGGGCCATAGTCTTGGGGGTCCCACTAGTCTCTATCAGACCACTAAGCCTGGTCTTTTTTTTTTTTTTTTTTTTGAGTTTTGTTTCACGTTTGTTTTTTTCTTACTTTATTTAGGACCTCCTATTGTGATTCCCTTCAGAGTGGTCACCATTGGTAGCCACGCACCATCTAGTTCTTCTGGTCTCAGGGTCATGAAGGCTTGGTTCATTTGGTCCATTAGTCCTCTGGACTAATTGTTTCCATGGGTCTTTGATTTTCTTCACTCTTCTTTATTCCAGATGGGGATATAAGGGAAAATTTTTTGAACCTTCCCAAACCCAAAAAATAACCTACCAAATCATACCAAATAACACATAAAATCTAAAATAACACTAACATATAGTAAAAGCAAGAATAATATGATAAACACACAACCTGTATAGAGTAGAAATAATGTACGTGCAGTGTAGTTCCCAGAGAAGGAGCTTAGCTACGCCACTCTTAATGCTCAGGGCGCTCGCTGCCTCTTTAACAGGCTCGCTTCAAAGCAAACACCAAATGCTGTCATGGTAGTTAAGTTCATGTGTCAACTTGGCCGGGCCTGGTTGAATGGCTGGGCAGGTGAATGTAGTTATTTCCCATGGTGAGAGTGGTAATTAACTCCATGGTGGAAGCTACTGGAGCAGCTGAGTAGCTGCTTTGGGTATGTGGCCCCAAACAGAACAGCTTTGGGAATGGTCTTGAACCCTGCATGTGGCTGTGTCATTGTTCAGCAGCCTGCCATGCTCTGCCGACCTTGGGAACTTTAATGGACTTGAATTAATGACCTGCTGTGTGGTTTGGTAACATTGGGACTGTGCCTTTTTATTTGTCAACCTTGGGCTTGGCAGCCTCAGCAGCCAGCAGCTGAGTGAAGAAAAGCCTCCACGTTCAGTGGGCCAGGAGAAGAGGGTAGAGCTGAAGCCAGGTTGAGGGGCTTTCACCCAGGCCCTAGAGCCTGGCACTTTGAACTCAGACTTAAAGCCTCCAAAATGTAACAGAATAAACTCCTGTTGATAAGGCCATCCCATTTGTGGTATATTCCTGTCAGAGTGGCACTAGGGAACCAGAACAGCTATTGTGCTTTTTGCCTTTTTTCCTATAAAAGTGAAAATCCTCTTTGGGTTTTTTTCAGTTGGTGAAAAGAGGTACTAATATATGTCCTTCATAAAAGCAAAGTAGTATAAAGTGAACTTTTGAAAAGCAGAGGATACCTGTTTCTGGACATTTGACCAGCATATGCTCTATATTTTCACCCAAGCCATTAACAAAAATGTCACATTAGAAAGGACCAAGAGTGGGGCCTGAGGCATATTGCTCCCAATGACCCACTAATTAAAGCTTTTTAAATTTTTCAGTTACACTAACTCAGGAAAATGGAAACATACCATATTATTGCCCTGCTCACGTAGCTTTATCAAGACTTTTATCAGCCTGGTGGGCCAGAAAGGACTCAAGAAGATACTATGTTGAAGAAGAAACTTAAGAGGTGGTCAGAGTTAGTGTGGCAAACACGTGGGATAAGGGGCACTCTGGACCCTGTATCTGAAAGTCCCGAAGGAAAGGAGATGACACAATTCAGAGAATAGAGAGAAATGCAGCATGCAGGAGTGAGAGGGCCAAGAGGGAAGGTGAGCCGAGAGACACAGGCAGGGACCAGAACCTGCTGGGCCTTGTGAACTGGGTTAGAGCTGGGACTTGATCTCTATGGCTGTGAGGGAGGCCATGAGGATCAACAAAGACAGAGTAAAGCTGGATTCAAGGAGTCACCACAGGCCTCTCCTCTAATGTGCATCTTGCTTTGAACAGCACTGAAAAGCCTTCCTTTTATCCTTAGAAATTTGTTATTATGTTTCTGCACATTCTCCACCTTAGCTTTCTGGCACCATGTTCCCAGGCCTATGGCACTATCTCATTGCTGGTTGGGTCATGGTCTTCGTGGCCCATCTCTGGTGCGTGGGCCTTAGGGGCCAGCATCCCAGACTCCTGTAGCTCTTCTCTCCTTCCTCCCCCTGGCAGAACTACCTGTGGGCATACGCTCTGAATGAAGCTTTGCCAGGCCTCACTCCTTCACAGCCACCTTCTCTTTCAGCTCCTCACACCCCTCTTTCCCCTGGACTTTTGACTCGGCTGGGCCTTTCCCCGTCCTCTCCATCCCACTCAGACTCCCAGGTGGGAAGTCAATCTTCACACCATTCCTGAAGTTTTGTTGCTTCTTCTTCATTGTCAAGTGCCAAAACTGGTCAGATGTTTGTCTTTTAACTTAAACCTGCAGTAGATGTTGGAAAAATTAATTTCCGCATTACTTTGCATCGGTCCCAATTCACACATCAGCACCAGAGAGGTAACTCTCTGCTTTCTCCAGCTGATACGGTAGCGCACAGTGGAGTCCCATCATCAGTCTCTTCCTCTCCCTCTCCTCCCTGGCTGCCCCTTCCTCTTCAGTGTGCTTCTCCTTAAGATTGCGCATTTCAGCTACTCCTTTTTCCCTTCATAACATGGCATTTTGTTTCTTTTTTTACCTAAACCCTACCTGAATGCAGTCTCCTTAAAGAAATTCAGACATTGTAACTATGATTACCCAGCACCTCCTCTCCCAGTCCTCTTCCCCATCCCCAGGGGTAATCACTATGATCCCTTTGGAATGTATCCTTTCAGAGCTTTTTGCTACATGTTTAAATCCACAAATAGAAAACTATGGAAAACATATAATATTGTTTTGTGCTTTAAAAAGAATCCCATCCAAATGGTTTTGTGCTACACATTCCATTCTGCAATTTGCTCTTTCCACTCAGCAGAATATTTATCTATTTTTCTAATTCTTTTTTTTTTTTAACTTTTATTGCAGTTTGGATGAAAGTTTACAGAGAAAACTCATTTTCCATGATGTATGTACAGCAGTTCATACACATTTTGTTTCATGACATTGACTGCAGTTCCCTACAGTGTAACAGCTCTCTTCCCACTTCCTCCCCATAGTTACCTCTCCCTATGTCCTTCCCTCCCATGCACTTTGGCCCTCCAAGTTGTCCTTCTGTTATCCTGCGATTGATCACTCCAAGGAATGTATCTATGTGATGTAAGTGTCCACCCCATATACCTGTCTATTGTTTGGCTGGAAGCCCAGGAGTGAATTTAGTTTCAGAATTGAAGGGTAACTAGGGGCTGTGGTCTCGGGTCTCATCAGGTTCTATCAGACTAGCAAACCTAGTCTTTTCTTTCTTTCTTTCTTTTTTTCACGGTTTTGAATTTTGTTCCACATTGTTTTCTCACTCTGTCCAGGATCTCCTGAAGTGATGCCCCTCCAAGTGGTTGACAGTGGTAGCCGGGCACCATCTAGTGCTTCTGGTCTCATGGTTATATAGGCTGAGGATCACAAGGTCTACCAGTCCCTTGGACTAATTGTTTCCATGCATCTTTGGTTTTCTTCATTCTTTGCTCTGAATGAGGAGAGACCCATCATTGCATCTAGAGAGCTACTTGCAAGCTTTTAAGACCCCAGTGGCTACTCTCCAAAGTAGGATGTAGAACAATGTTTTTGTGTAGTATGTTATGCCAATTGATCAGCAGAATGTTTTAGAAACTATCCACATTGATCTAAATAATCTACCTTGCTCTTCTCCTAACTGCAGTACAGTATTCCAAATTTTTTTAAAATTGTGCTTTGGATGCAAATATACAGAGCAAAATTTGTTTTACATTCAATAGTTCATGTGCATTTCACGCCCCAAATACCATCCCCGACCATAACAAATGCTCCTCCCATCTTGTCCCTGTGACCCCCTCCCTGTGCCCTTCTTAAATATGCACTGTTGTCTGTCCAGCAGTCCCTATATGTGAATGCTGCCCCTCTGGTGCCCCATGGCCGATTGCTCTAAGGGTGTGTCTCCCTAGAGCAAGTGGGTGCATTGCCCTTGGGTAGCTGTTCTGCATGTAGGTCTTCCTAGGCTGAGTCCAATTCTAGGTCTGAAGGGTAACCTGGGGCCATGGTCTTGGGGGTTCCACCAGACTCTATCCGACCTGTAATTCTGGCCATTTTTGTGTTTTTGGATTTCGTTCCACATTTCATATTCCATAATTTGACATTTGAGTAGCTCTACATTGTGCATTTGTGTGTTTCTCCAGTTTTCCCTTTGCCAACATCTATTCTAAAACTTTTAATAATAACAATATGATGGGTGAGATGGTCTTATTTAGTTTGTTTGCACTTACTGGATAGCTAGTGAGGCTGAACATGTTTTCATACAACTGTTGGACATTTGTATTTCCTTCTCTGTCAATTTTCTATTCATAGTCTTTGGGGCTGTTCAGTCCTTTATTATTGATTTAGGCATTCTTTATATATTGTAAATACTAATCCTTCATTATGTATATTGCACATTATTTCAACTCTTTTCCTAAACTTCAAGTCTTTTAGAATTTCTCACCATTAGATTAAAACTTTGTAGCCACTTCAGGTCTTCAAGAGCCAGGGGAGAGGGAGGAGGCCTGAGACTTCAGAGACTTGAGACCAAGTTCATGTCTGTCCATCCTGGGACTGGAGCCTGGCTACAAGTGGAGCCAGACTCCAAAGCCAAGAAGTCTTTCTCCAACATGATTTTGACAAATAGCTGACTAGTGCTTTTCTCCTTCTTTGACCCCCAAGGTGCTCCAGCCCGCAGTTCACTCAGCCAAACTCACCATGTGTGAAGAGGAGACCACCGCGCTTGTGTGTGACAATGGCTCTGGCCTGTGCAAGGCTGGTTTTGCAGGAGATGATGCCCCCCGGGCTGTTTTCCCCTCCATCGTGGGCCGCCCTCGCCACCAGGTGTGTGCTCATCTGGACCCAAGGCTTTGAGCCACTAGGAGTAAGCACTGCGTCATGAAGACTATATGTGTGTTGACCCTCATACCCCCACTACGTGTGTGTGTTGGGAGGCAGGAACCCTCTTTTCTCATTAGTTAATAAAGCAGGAGCCTTTAAAGAGCAATATCCAGGACCAAAAAACAATATCCTTCCGGCATACAGTAAGGGTATTATGTTAGGCTTAAATCTTTAAAGCTATCTTTCTGTCTTTGTGTGTGTGTGTGTGTGTGTGTGTACACAATTAAGCTCCTTGCCTTTAAGAAATTTACACTCTGTGAAGATACCACACAACTAACTTGAAATCATTGGCTGAAACAGAGGGAAATGATCTCACTAGGGGAGCACAAAGAAGAGAGATTAAAGCTGAACAGAGGAACTAGGATGGGGAAAGCTTCCTGGACAAAGGGATAACTGAGGATAAGGAGGGTTACAGTGAGTGGAGGGAACAGCATGAGCAAAGATTGGGAGACAGAAAAAAATTGCAAGGGTAGGGTATTCGAGGAGGGTAAGTACAAGTCCTATGTGTGTATAATAAGAGGAGGAGAAGAAACATATGCCTAGATTCTGTTTTCTCTTAGAAAATGACATTGTCTCAGAAGACAGACTAGACACCAGCCTATAAGAAACCCTCTGTCTTCTCTTCCTGCACCCTCTGTGCTCACAGGTATCTGCCCCATTCTTACCTCCAGGGGAAAAGGGACTCCTTTTCCTATCCTCGTCCTTCTTTAGAGACCTCTCAATGTCCTTCCGTGTGCAACCCTCGACTAATTCACTTCTCTTTGCTTTGCAGGGTGTAATGGTAGGAATGGGCCAGAAAGACAGCTACGTGGGGGATGAGGCTCAGAGCAAGCGTGGGATCCTAACTCTTAAATACCCCATTGAACACGGCATCATCACCAACTGGGATGACATGGAGAAGGTATCTCCTTTAATGTGCTTATTAATGATCATATATCATCAAGATCTTCATATTCCTCACATGTTAGGTCCCTGAGCCCTGTCAATGCCACCTCTAAAATGTTTCTCAGATCCTTTCTTCCCATCCCCGTGGATACTTTCTCACAGAGGGTCAGCATCTCTCACCCAGACTGTTACAGTGGCTTCCTGACTGTGTCCCTGTGTCCTGCCCTTACACACCCAATTAATTCTCTACACTCCTGCAAAGATTATCTTTCTGAAAACAGATAAGATCATGTCCCACACCTCCTTGGGAATCTTTAGTAGCTCTTCACTAACCAACAGAAGGTTCCTAACTCCCCTTTATGTCCTCAGGACCTGGCCCTGCCTGATCAGTTTCTTCCTGTCATGCAGCCTGCACTCTAGCCCAGTGGTTGTTCTACTGCAGCCTGCATGAGAGAGCATCTTTAAAATGCTGATGCTGCCTTGGGAGAAGCGAGTGACTCTTCTCTCCCTTTTATTTCCCTGTCAGGACTTCAGGTGCACTGATGCTATATCAACTTATGATAACTATCTAATGAAAACTTTAAGTAAAAATATCTAGAGGTTTCTAGAAGTTTTTTTTTTTTTGCACAAGAAAATTCAGAAGGGTTCATTTTTAAACAGTAGAGTTTGTGATAAACAAAATAATGTGTGCAAAATGCTAACCGAGCTTTCCTAATATTCTTCGATAAATGCAGCTAATAGTTCTTGATTCTTAAATGACTGTGTTCTGGAATTTTAAACAGAGGGTTTATTGAGCAGACTGGTGGGAATAAATGTTGATTTGAAATCTGTAATTCATATTTATGTTTCTCCAAATCCTTGATTCAGTTGCTCTAGCTGTAAGATAACTATATAAAATGCAATAGCACTCTGGTAGTGTAGTGCCTAAGGCACTTGACTGCTAACCACTTCTGGGAAGGAAGGTTGGGCAATCTACTTCTGTAGTGATACCGTCTTGGAAACTGAAGGAGGGTCACTATGAGTCGGATTCAACTCAACGGCAGTGCATTTGTTTTTTGGTTTAGAGTCCACCTCATACAGTGAGGTCGTTAGGAGCACCCATTGTGGAGTCAGTGGCAGAGAGATCTGGGTGCAAACTCACCCTCTGCCACTTTGTCACTTTGACTTTTGGTGAGTTAATCAAACTCTCTAAGCCTCTCTAAGCTTCCTCACTTGTGAAAGGGAGATGATAATACTTTCTTCATTAGGTTGCTTTGAAGATTAAACTAGGCAAATACTTAGTATAACCCAAGGCATGGAACATACTTAATGCTCAAGAAATGACACATTTTCATAGCATATATTTAAGAACATCCAACTCAATAGCATAATAGATAAAATATGTTATTCACAGTGGTAAGTGTATGAAATCTTTAAAGAAACTCCTAAAAATATAGTATGAGCCTTATAATGAAAACGGAACAAGGTAAAGGTGTTAACTCTTCCCAAATTAACTTATATACTCATTGCCATTCCAATGCAAATCTCACTATTTTTAATTAAGCAAGAATTCTAAAGCATGTTTGGAGGGATAAATAGGGAAAAATTTAAGAACAAAATGAGTAAGAAAAATTATGGGGGAAGACTTTCTGTATCCAAATAGTAGAATATAAGAGTTATAAAAATTAAAATAACTTGGTAACAACACAAAGGTAGAGAGAAAATACAGGATAAAGAAAATTTCCAACCCTGTAGAGCAAAGAGGATTATTCAATAAATTTTTGTGGGATAATCAATTAGTTATTTGGGAGAGGAGGGATCTTTTGTTTATAACCCTGACTCAAATCATCTCACCAAATACACATCAAGTAAATATAAAATTTAAATACAAAAATTCAAATATGAGTATGTATCAAATTTCTGGTGAAAGAAGTCATAATTTGACTTTATAAAAATCATAGCTTCTAGTATGTCAAAAAGGAGCTCTGGTAGCATAGTGTCTAAGGCACTTGACTGCTAACCAGAAGGCTGGCAGTTCAAACCCACCAGCCACTCCTCGGAAGGAAGATGGGGCAATCTACTTCCATAGTGATACTGCCTCGGAAACCCAAGAAGGGGTCACTATGAGTCAGGTCTGACTTGATGGCACATAACAACAACAACAACAACAACAACAACAAGTATGTCAAAAATAAAACCAAATTTAAAATGAAAACAAAAATTACAAAATTAATTACAATAAGGGCATTATATGATAAATGTAAACAAACAAACAAGACTCATGGTGACCCCATATGTTTGTTACAGAGTGGAACTAAGTGCCATAGGGTTTTCTTGATCATGGCATGATTGAATGGATTCAAACAGCCAAATTTTTGGTCAGCAGCTAATGCAAATTGATAATTAAAAATACAAAGTCTTGTTCAGACAAATAAATGACATGAACAGACAAGTTGCCCAATAGAATGTATAAAAAGCTGCAAATGTGAAAAAGTTCAAAGTCATTTTAGACAAATTACAAAATTTGAAGTAAAACAACTAGGTGTCGTTTTTACCTATCCATTTTTTTTACTTCATATTTAAGAATGAAACACTGAATGCAGGTGAGGGTGTGGTAAAACAGGCACTTTCTTCTTCTGGGAGTGAAAATCAGTTTAGCCTTTTTGTTGGTAACAGAAATCAAAAAATGACTCCACTTCTAGAATTATTTTCTTTGGTGAACATCCTAAGTATCAAAAAATGCAGAAAATATATGTATCATAAGATTATTTATAAACAACAATGGAAGATACCATGAATAATAAATACTGTGATTAAATACGTGATATGGTATATGATGAAATATTGTATGAGTATTAAAAATAAGTGTTTGTTCAATTTAACTCACTGCTGTTGAGTCGGATCCGACTCATAGTGACCCCTCCTTGGGTTTCTGAGACGGTATCACTATGGAAGTAGATTGCCCAACCTTCCTTCCAACGAGTGGCTGGTGGGTTTGAACCGACAGCCTTCTGGTTAACAGGCAAATGCCTTAGGCACTACGGCACCAGAGCTCCTTTGTTCAATTTAATAAAAATAAATATTTACAATGAAAAGGGAAATTACTTATATTAACTGAAAAGTGGCCAGAAACAAACTTGAACATAAAAATATCATAATAAATATGCAAAGATACATAAAGAAAAAAGATTAGAAAGAAGAAAAGAGCCAAAGTGTCAGCTGTTGGTTATTAGGTGGTGGAAACATGGGAGCTTTAAAAAAATATTTTTTTTATTTTTCAATCCTGAGCATCTTTAACTTGTAAGGTACTTTAGAAGAACTCCAAAAAATGAAATGCAGGTGCTTGGGCCCCACACCCAATGATTCTGATTCAGTGGCTTTGGGATACAGCCCAGGAACCTGCATCTGTAACAGCTCCCCAGGTGATTTCGATGCAAGGCATTTGGGAACAACTAGCCGCACCTCACGAAGACTACTTGCCCTCCTTCCTGTCTCCTGTGAACTGTCCCAGTGCAGAGCCTTTGCCTCAGATAACTCTTCTTAGCCTTGCAGACCTTCCTTTGCCTTCACTAAAAAACAAAAACAAAAAACCCAAACCCACTGCCACAGCTCACGCTAATCCCTCGACATAATTAACTGCTCTTGCCTCTTCCTTCCCTTGAAATGTGGCTCATGTCTTTGGATTTTGGTTTTTCCTTGTCTTCCTCTGCTCCAGGTTTTGAAACTTACAACCAGGGACCATGTCGGACTGACATCTGCCCTTATCACACTTGGCACCATCTTAGCACAAAGTGGGGGTACATAAATATATGGGTACCAGAGAACCAAATGACTCTGAGGAAATCAAAGCTCCATGCCCCTGCCACTCTTTACTGAATCCCTGTGAAATAACAGCTCCTACTTGGTTGTCCTGAATCACTGAAGAGGGAACTGGACTCAGTGGGGAGAAAGGAAAAAGCAAAGAAAGAAAATCCAATGATAGTTGCTGTTGAGGCATTCTGACTCCTGGGACCCCATGTGTGTCATAGTAGAACTGTGCTCCACAAGGGCTTCAATGGCTGATTTTTTAAAAGTAGATCTCCAGTCCTTTCTTCCAGGGTGCCTCTGGGTGCTTTCAAATCTCCAACATTTCGGTTAGCAACTGAGTGTATTAACCATCTATCCCACCCATAGACACTGAGGGAAAAATAACTTTCTCTAATGCATTGGTTCTCACCCAGGGCCATTCCCC